AGTTACTACTGGTATTAATTAAGAGTGTCAGTGTTTTCATTACTGTGGGATGTCATTAAATTGAGTGTTCTTTGCATGTAAATCTGTTTAGTTGGTTATGTGTTAGAAACAACACATTTTCATTAGTTAGTTGAGGATATGTATTATGCAATTGTCCCCAATCAAAAAGTTTTCAAGTGGAATTTGAAATTGATTTTGCTAAATTAGTATGGCAAATTAGCTAAATTATTTCCCTGAATGTATAATATTTTGATTTATACTGAAATATTAAAAAATTAAAAGTGATTTATAGTACTTTCTAAGACAATATGAGGAAATGCTTATGGGAAATATGTTCCCTTACTATACATTTCGGGTTATCAGGTTTTAAAAATTCCATGAATTGAGTGTTTGAATATTTTAAGTCCAAGAATATGTTTTAATGAAATATATTTCCATGCACACTATAACCTAAATTATTTGCAAGGTGTATCTCAAGAAACAAAATATTTGAATATTGTGTACACAGACCCACAAGTCCCTTAGCTTTTTACATTCTCAGAAAATTATTCTACCATTCCTATGGATCAATATACAGTATACATAAATAATGTTTTTGTGTCTGTGATATAAAAGTCTATGTACAAAGACTTGCTTTATTATAGTGTACTATAATGTCACAAACAGTATTTTGTTGAGAATGTTTACAAAATTTATATCAATACATGTATTTTTATATTTGTATGCTGTGATACTTTCTACTGTTATATTTAATTGAACTTGTAGAAAAGTGTGTTACTTGCTAATTTTTATTGTTTTATTTTCTAATTAGTCACATTTTGCACTTCAAACTTGTTAAAATAGTTTCATCTTTTATACTTTTGATATCTGTAAAAAGCATGTATGTTGTATAAATTTTTACTAAAATACTAAAATATTCACAAAAACTTAAGAATTTTTAATATTAAATACTATAAGAATTTGTAATGTAGGTTAGCCTATGCTTTTCTGACTCACATATGTGACAATCTGTTTTCTTTTAAAACCTATTTTAAGAAAATAGAATAATATTCAAAGTTTATTTGGTAAAACATGTGAACAGTGATAAGTGGAAATAGAACCAGTTTAAGAAACTAAAGGATTCCATGGGTCACTATTGTACACTATAATGTTGGCTCATTGCTGATTTTATCTTTTTCTAAGGACATGCTTAAGCATCCTTCTCTTTAGTATATTACTTTCTCCATACACATTTTTTATTTAGGCATACAAGATATCATCTGCTGGTAATTTCATTAACATTTGAAGAGAAAAAGTTGTCCTTTCATAAAAACAGTTAACAAGAGAAACAACATCTTAGCACAAAACCAAGGGAAAACACTGGTCATTTCACAAAATTTCAAATAAAATGTGAAAATTATATAGCAGTTACATTAATTTTTCAGACATACTTTTATTTAAATTTTTCTACTTTCCTGACAGTTTTGAATCTGTGCTGCATCTGTAGTTCTATTTCTTTGTACGCAAGTATCTACAAAGTAATTTAGAGACGTGACCTTGATCAGTTATTCAAAGGTACGTTATTAAAAGTGAGGATAACAGTTTATCAAACTATACTGAATAATATTTTGTTAGTTATGTGCAGAAGAATGTTTACCAGTTCAGACTGAAACGGTAATTATTTATTTACATTAAAAAGTTAAAATTTTCCATACACTAATGTAATATTAATAATGGATATTTATTTATTTTCGTAAACTAATGCATTTATAACTAAATAACTGTAAATTAATGGGTTCACATTTGATAGACGAGTGAAGAAGCTGAAAATGTAAATAGAAAACACACATACTGAAACAATCTGATTTTTTTCTTTTTTTGTGTGTGTCTAAATATGATTTTTGAAAGGGAAAAAATCTGTGGGTAAAGAGACTCCTTTTACAAAGGTAGAAATTTCAGGAAGCTACAAATGTATTTCATTTTTATTACAAATCAGGAAGTATTCCAAACAACTCAAAAACATCTCTATAAAGAGAACTTGGGAGAGGTCCAGTTGAAGCCTGTAATGCAATTAATTTTTCTTGTACCTGATTGGCTAAGTTTTTATATAATCTTGAAGCATGTAAAATGTTTTTTTATGATAATACGAGTAATCACCCTGATACAAGTTTTAAGTATCTTAAAATTTGAGTATGAAGTGTAATATTCACAAGATTTTGTGTGGTAAAGGAAAAATGTGGTTGGATCCTTGGGGTGTTTAGGGGATTGATGTAAAATGTTAAATTATATATTTTTGTAAGACATTTTCCTCACTTGTGTTATAGGATGCATAAAAACAAGTAATGCTGCAGTAAAAATAATGCAGATATGTTTGAAATTTTAACATAAAATACTCGTTATTCATTCCAGTTTTTGTACCTGATGAATTACCTGGTATGGCAACAGTTATGCAATGATTTTACAGAGTACGTGTTTCTGTAACAAACAGTTATTTTTTTATTTCAACTGTTAGTCACTTTGGTAGATAGCAGCTTCATCTACTTGCACAGTCATTTTGGGTCAGCTTACCATATCCATCCCAGCAACAAAATACTGTGACCTTTTCAAAAGATGGTAGTTGAAAATCCATAAATTTGAGTTGAATAAAGAGTTAAAAAATAATTATGAAGAAAAATCTTAAAATTACTAAACCATATGATTTCCATGATTATTACATGATACAAAAGATCATCAGTGAATTTTGATAGTGTTTTTTACATGTAATAAAATACTGTTTGTCACTAGTTTTTTTTTAATAGTTAAATATCTTAAACATGAATGTGTAGGAACTATATTATGTTAATATTTCAAACCTGAAGTTCATGTACAGTATATTAATATATTTTTTTTACTTTTGCTTCTATATGTATAAAAAAGAATTGTTATAATTGTTCAGTTGTATGGTGTAAGGAAACAGAATTGCCTGAACATGTAAGAAAACTTGCTGAAACCCTGTTCTAGATAGTCCCTAACAGTATAAATGTGGTTTTATAAGAAACAGAACAGTACATTGTGTTTGTGTATCTATACATATATATAGTATCAGTTTCTAATATATAAATATATGTATTTACATATTAGAAACTGATCAGTACAGAATATAGATGTGGTCAGAAACTGATTGGTACATAATATGAATGTGGTTTTCTTAGAAACTTATCAGCACAGAACATGACAAGAAATTTATGGTACCAATCGTGTAATGATTATGCACTGTGGATATCGCTATAATAGCCAAACAGTTATTTTTTATTTCAACTTTAGTCACTTTGATAGATAGCAGTTTCATCTGCTTGCATAGTCAAAATACTGTAAACTGTTCAAAGGTGATAGTTGAAAAATCCTTAAATTTGAGAATTGCTTTGCACCATACTTTTAAATGGCTTATTTTAGGATTAACAGATGATTCATTTATTGAGAAAAAAAAATTGGTAATTTAATTGTAATTTAATTTAAATGTAATGAAATGACAAAATAAATTTGTAGTATGGTAAATTAATAAGATGTAATGATTTTAGAAAAAATTTGCTCATTTGTCTTACTCTTAAAAGGAGAAGTGCAAGGTTGAAGAGAAAATTCTTAATTTGAGGTATTATTAATGTCTCAAGATGCTTCATTTCAGTTATGTGATTTTTGACAGCTGAAAAATCAGTGACAAATTGCTGGAAATTGGTTACATTGAATGATTTCTTAAGATGATCAGTCAGTTAGGTAGATTGATGCCTATAGATTTAAGTGTAATATATATAAATCATTATGCATATTTTTTCATGTAGGAAATAGTTGGTCTTATTTTGCTTATTGTATCTCTAAAAAAAAAGTCATAACTTTGGGGGAGAGATGTGTTTTATAAGTGTTGTAACACATGTACTTGATCCAAATACAATTTAATTATGCATATCCTGTATGGATAGTCATAATTGGATAATAATTTTTAAACAAGTCATAAGTGACTAGCTATTTTGCATTGTTAACTATGGCAATAAATATTTAGTTCAGAAAGCAAATTTGCTGTAAAAACTCGGTGAATATTTGGTGTGTAAATTCTCATTGTTATTAGTACTCTTTAATACACAAATATAAAGAAGTGTTTAAAAAATTTTAGCTCCAGATCTTTCCTCAATTTTCTAAAGTAAGATGGCTCAGAACATGTTTTACATCTTTAAAAATATTGACTGAACAATATTTATATGTCTGAGATAAAATTAACAGTATAATAAGTTCACTCTGCATGTATTATATGAAATTTATGATGATTATATGCAATTTTTGTTGGATTAGTACATCTCAAATGAAGTTAAGTGTTTTTATATGTCTTTTATCATTGGTTTGTTTTTTCAAATCAGACTAACATATATGTGCAAAACCTTTCATTTTGTTAGTTATGGCTATTCATTAATATTATTGCTGTTTTTCTTTTTCCTAGAGAGAACTATATTGTATGCTATTTTAAGACAATTTTATAGATACACCTAGCCCTGTGTTGCATGTAGTAATAATTTCACATAATTTACTATACAGTCTATTATATTCATTTTTTTATTATAAATACAAGAGAAGAAATCATCATTACATTTGTTTAGAAAATATTTGGCCTGTCTAAAGTGGATTTGTTATCAGAATTTGTTTTATTACTTTAAATGTCATTGTCTCAGACTGCAGTAATAGTTTTGTTTTGATAGTAGTTGTACACCTATTTGGACTATGATCTCCCATGATAGGTATGGTATGCAATGTTCCAGGGTACATTTTGTGTTGAATTGAAACACACACACATATATATATATATATAGTAGGGTTTTAGATACTATCATTTGCTCCTCTTTTTTTGTGTGATAGCTGTTTAGAAACTATTGGTTATTAAAATTTGAATTAACAGCTATTTGATGCAAGACACAGATTTTATATTTACATATTTTTTGCCTTATTTCCCTTACTTTTATTGGTATTAATTTTTTTTATTTTTGTTTTTACTCTTTCAGAAAAATCAAAAGCATTACCTGTAGAACACTGCACAAATCTACCTCAGTCATCAAACAGGAGAGTGACTCCACATAATACCAGTTTAAGTGAAGATCAATTGCAATCAGTTGTTTCTATCAGCCATTCAGCCACCACATCTAAGTATAATTCATCTCAACCTACAGTTTCACAGGTTATCATGGCAACAAGTATTGGGAATAGTTTGTCCACTTTGGTGGACAGTACATCAACAACAGATGTCGATCAGCATGGAGAAAGATTGACTGACCCTAAAGAATACCAGAAGACATTAATAGTATCAAAGAATGAGGAAATAAGAAAATGTGAACAAAACAATGAAGTAAAGAAAAGTACAGAAGAAAAAGTAGCCAATACCAAACATACAGAACTTATGTTATCTGAAGCTTTGGGTGACAATATGGATAGTTCGAGTAATTCTAAACAAGAAGCAAATGAGATAACCAATGGCCAGCAGCCAGGTTTATCTAGCAGTAGCCCAGACTCTGACTATGACTCTCAGTCATATACATGTTTGTCTTCAGATGTCCATAACACTGGACCAACAGTTGTGATGGCATCAAGAAATTCAAATATATACCATACTGACTCTTTAAATGGTAAAGATCAAGCAAATGGCTCTTCACTCATCTGTCCATTGGATAACAAGGAAATTGTGAAAACATCAGATAATGTCTGTCAGAAAGAACTGAAAACCTCTTATCAACATATTGGTTTTGTAAATAGTTCTGCTTCTGTGTTAAATTGCTACCGACCAACTAACTACCATGAAAGGTTAGGTGATTCATTATTGGATATTCATTGCAGCAGTAAAGCTGAAGGCTTGAAGTTTGTGGAGGTTAGTAGAAATGCTTCTTCACCTGTTGCTAAAATTATTGCATTGGATAGTGGTACAGCTGTAAGCCCACTGTCAAAATGGATTGAAGTGCCTTCTGTTGGGGGATTGTCAAGAATCACCTCTGTAGGTAGAAAAACTCAGTTTCAAGGAGAATCAGGTTTACCAACATTAATACCCTCACATGGTGATGGGCATGTCCGTGAAGGACTAGATATTTCCTTTATGCAGGATAGCAAAAATGAAGTTTACACTAACAGCATCACTCCTGTGAAAAATATACCAGCATCTGTTAATAGTAGTCATATCTGTTCTTCTACATCACACCAGCTATCACCCAGAGTACAGTCTTTGAGATCTGGAAGTAATCAAGTTCTTCAGCATGAATTTCACAATAAGCAAACACTTGATCCACCTGTAAGAAGTTTATCTCTTATTTCCCAAAATATTGACAATCCAAATAGTCAGAGGGAGCAAACACTTGGTCCATCTGTGAGAAATTTGTCTTTTACTGCCCAAAATATTGACAATCCAAATAGTCAGAGGGAAAGGACTAAAGAAGAATGGGATAGTACCTTTTCTAGTGATGAGTCAAGTATGGATTCAGTTGACAAAGGTACTGCAAGAAACACAATAGCTGTTTGTCAGGGGCTATGTAATAGTGTGATGGATGCGGTAGCAAGAAATGTAAACTTTACATCAAAGTCTCCTTCAAAATTACAGACATTAAAAATTGAGAATAATGATGGTGAGGCAAAAGCTTTGCAACAGCATTATATAGTTCAACCTAACCATGATACAGATTTTTGTTCAAGTTCTACTGAACTCGTGTCTATAGAAGGTATGTAGGATATTTCTCCTGAAAGTGAAAAAATTATAAGCTTTCACATCTTTCCACAGTTAGAAATATTTATGTACTGAATAATTTTTCATAACAAATATTGAATTACAAGTTATGATATATACTATTAGTTTTATGCAGCGTGTTATGTTTTGTTAGGCAGTGTCATTGTAATTTGAAATAAAAAAATTAGGAAAAGAAGATTAGAAAAGTTATTAACGTGTAAGATTAAGAATAATTAGGTTGTACATGTATTTCTTAGTCACAAGTAATATTTAAAATATTGGGGTAGGTTTTAATGAAATATGGTTTGAATGCAAAATACTTTTTATGCAGTAGTTTACTGAAGAAATGTGTTATTCTGAACTGCCCCATCACACGTATAAGTGTTTGTAAAATTATACTCTGAGGAAATAGGGGTGTAATATATTTTTGGTAGACTACAAAACACATTGAAGTGCATTTGATCATAAATAATTATTGATCTTAATTTTGAAGTTAACTGACATGATGTTACCTTCATATTAGAAACTGCAGATAAGACATGACTATGAAAAACACCTAACAATGGCATTAACCACAAATCATTACTGCTTTTCAGACATTATGTGTATAAAAAAATATATTGTTAATTTAATAATAATTAATAGATTATGTGTAGGCACAATATTATTTTTTTTTAAATAATAAACAGTTTGAATTAGATTTCTGTAGTGCATATTTGTGTATAGAAAACATATCAAAACTAGAAATAAAGACCTTATAACAACAAATTGTTGTTTTTCTTTAATTTGTCACTCAATGTTTACTCACTTTACGGCTTCAGGAGTGTTCCACTAAAACACAAACTGCAACTGACAATACAAAGCTTCAAATGGTTTAAGTAATAAATTATAATCAAATCTTTAGTATGTATTTCTACAGCATGCATTTGGCATATTAACTAGTAAGGCTTATTGTTGAAATAATTAATTGTTACCTGTAGTAAACAAAAGTTCTATCAAAGTTACAGATTGAAATAACCAAAAGATAGGATGAAAAAAATAAATTGTGAAAATTATAGGCACCATCCTTTGTCCCTATTCATCTGTGGTCATAATTGTTTGATGAGAAGAGCTTCTTTGAACTTTCTGTCAGTGTACTTGGTGGCTTTGGTAAGGATTTGTATGATGGATGGTTGTTTCAAATCAGATGTTATTATTTAAACCATCTGAAGTATTGTACTGTCAGTTATGATTTGTGTTTTAGTGGAATGCTTCAGAAGAAGCTGTAAAACAAAACATCGAGTGTTAAATTAAAGAAAAACAACAATTTGGTGTTATAAATACTATGTAAATATCTCAATTGGCATGTACAGTAATTAATGTATGAAGAGCTTATTCATATACTTGACAAATTAAAGGTAAAGGTGCATAGTAGGCTACAAAATATTATGCCAGTTATTATGCAATTTAAGTTTCTTTACATATTATCATGGATATGAAGTTGGGAAAATATTTGTCATGATTATTATTGTAACATAAGAAACTTTTTATCTTTCACTGAAAAGTCAGATAAATAAACTATTTTATAACATACCTCTGTTTCAAATTTGGAAATATGATATTCTTAATCTAGATTATGATTAAAGTATTTAAATGTGTATTTATAATTTATTTTTGTTTATGCAGAGCAATCAGACAAGAAAGGCCTAGAGAACAATACTTTGAACACCAGTATAAAACCAGTTATGAACGATTCAGTAGATAAAATCTCATCATCATTCCAATCCAGTGAAATTACCAAACCTTCTACAGCTGATGAATCTTACCATAAAGATGATGATAATTTAGCATTGAGTAGCATCAGTACCAACCTTATTCAGAGTGCTGCTTCTGTAATATGTCCAATCTCTCAGTCTTCCATGAGCCAACCAGCCAGTCAGAAAGTTATTCAACAACCATCAACTGTTCCATGCACTCACTATGATTCAAGTATCTCCTTAAGGTCACTCCAGAGTAATTCATTGACAAAACTTGTTACTTGCACTCCATCAGCTGCCAGTATTCAGTCTTGTTCATTTTCTGTCTCAGATCTTGATAATCTAACAGGAAATACAATAGTCAGTACTACCTGTACACCCAGCAGCTCATCTGCTGCTTTTGGTCCATGTTTGGTGGAGCAAAGAACTTCTTCACATCCTTATACTGTTAGCACTAATTCAACACCAGTAAGTGCTTCTTCAGCTTTATTGCATTGTGCTGAACATACTCTAGTTTCTTCTACTTGTTTTTCAAATACTGCCTCTTCACAAACTTTGGTTGCTTCCAAACAACTTAGTCCAGACACTACAGTTAGTATAGCTGACAATGAAGAAACAAGTACTTTCCACTTAGCTTCTGAGAGCACTCAACCCAGTATAGTTATTACTACTGGTTCAGTTGTAACTCAACCATCATCTAATCAGCAAAGTGTTGCTACTTGTATGCAATCCAGTGTAACTACTGTCTCTGCTTCAGTCAGCACTGAGCAGATAAGTACTTTAGTGCCTTCTAACTTTTTACAAAAATGTACATCTCTACAAAAAGAAGCTGAAGCCTCCCAACCTTCTGTTATTACTGGGGTTATGTCTGTACCAGTTGATATGAGCACAGCATATCATGCTATTGTAAGTTCTGTTGCTTCTACTCCAGTTTCTTCTTTGCCTTTTATTTCTTCTAAACTGAGCAATTGCATCACTGATACACCAGGAAGCCGTTTGACTTTAATTTTTAAAAACACAATTTCTTCGGGTGGCCAGCGGTCTCTGCTGACATCGGCCAACAATATGACTAGAGTCAGTGTCCCTTTTAGCTCCTCTAAAACTGTTCCAATTAAGTTTGTGACTCTTCCAACAGGGGGACCCGCATTGAAGACAGTAAAATCTTCCAATCTGTCAGTGTTAGAGTTAATCAGTTCTTCTTCAGCATCCACTAGTACAGTGTGCTTAACAACTAGTAACTCTTTATCAACATCACCAGTCAGGTTAGTAGTCTCACATATGAAACCATCAGGATCATCTCTATCCCTTCCTGGATCTTCATCAATGGTTAATAAGGTGCTTGTGAAATCTGTGGTGGTATCTAATACATCACCTTCTATCAAACTTGTACCCATGAGAGGAACTATCTGTACTTCTAGTACTGCTGGGTCTGGTTCTCTGTTGGCTGTATCGTCTACCAGTTCTTCAGTACAGGAGAGTTCTAGGACTAACCTGTCATCAAAAATTACTGCTTTCATGCCCTCTTCAGTGTTGGACTTAAACAAACAGAGTTGTGATGGAAAAACAGTTACGGATCAGTCTCAGCCTTTGGAAACAAAACACTGTGTTGAGCCTCAGTCCTTAAAAGACTGTAATCCTACCATTCCTAGTGTGAACAGTCAAAATATTATTGAAAGGGAACAAAAAAGTAATGAAGCAGCAGCAGACTTCAGTAAAGAACAGGGGACCCTTTTGTCCATAACCAACTGTAGTGGTGATTTAAATACATATACCTCTATGGGTGATATACAGAAGAACCCCTCAGAAATGATAAGTAACACAGACCACATGCTTTCTGACAAACTGACTTATGCAAAAGATATTTCAGAAGACCATTGTTACACCTGCAATCAATCTAATGTCTCTAGTCAGAGCAGTGGCATAGAAATGAAAGTTTCTGAAGATTGTTTAAGTAATGGAAAAAAGGATTCATTAATCACTGGTACTCATGAAAAACAAAAGATATGTACTTCCTGTGATTTCTTTGGAAAAACAGAACCAAACCTGCCTTCTGAACGTATAACTCCCTTTGAAGAGAATTATCAGAACTGTGTGATTCAGAAAGAAACAGGCGTGTGTTGTCAGTCTGTATCAGCAGAAAGTACAGGAACATATCAGCAGTTGAAGGAAGAACCTCCAAACTGTGTAGTGCTAGATAGTTCTGCTGGAATGAAAGAAAATTGCTTATCAGTAATCATTTCTACAGATTCTTCAGCCAACATCATTGATTCTCAAACTATGTTTACTAAGACAGTACCTGAAACTAAAGCAAACCCAGAGCTGGAGATGTCAGATCAAGAAACAGAAGAAAACTACAGAAAAAAATTGGGTCCTGTGGCCCTAGAACCTATCCGTCCAGTACACATATCCTTGAAAGGATCATCTGCAAATTATGAAAATTTAGAGAATGGTCCACCAACATCTGATGAAAGGGAAAATAAAATACAAGTTAATGAGGATAAAAATTTTGTTGTAGGTGAAATGTGTGAAGATAAAGATCTCATTTATGATGATCAAGGAAATAAAGAGGAGATTGTGTATTTAAAGCCATTGAAAAGGAAGTGTTCAGAAAATGCTGCAGAGCTTATTAATGTTTGCATTGGACAAGAGGATCATTCCAGAGGAGTTGTAGTTGGAAAGCTGAAAACTTCAGAAGAACAGTGTCCAACAAAACCACAAGAGGAGGAAGAAGAAGAAAAGGAGACAGATGATAAGCCAGATCCCTCACTGCAAAAACTTCATAGCCTTATGCATGAAGATGTTATCAAGAAAGATGAGAAAGGTAAGTTGATCAGAATTGGTGAAATCATTAATAGTGACAAGCATACAAGAAATAAAAATAATCAGGCAGCTGTATGATGTGAAACTGCCCATAATTTAACTCTAGTTTGTAAAAGATATAGAATAATTTTTGTGCTGATTGAATCATGATCAAAATTTTTAAATTTAATAATTTGATTTTTACTTCTTTCATAACTAAAACTGGTTTTGTCAAGTAGTAATGCTATTACACACACAAAACAGGAAATAACTAATTTTAAGAAATATTTGCATTTTTACAATGTTTCATGGACACAGTTTTGGTTCAGAAGAAAAGCAAGCTATAAGTTTTATTTTCCTTGATGTTTCTTAAACAACACAGTATAAACTGTTTTAGTAGATGTCATCTACTAGAAGGTAAGTTTATAAAATTACACAATCTTCTGAATTGAAAAAAAGAAAATTGTATATGAATACTTTATGAAAACATAATTTCCAGAAATTTTATGTAATAATAAACTTATTAAAACAGATTTTTTACCTATGTAATATTATGTACAGAAATTTTTTATCAGTTATAATGTTTAGGTCACAGTTTTCTAAAACATACTTATCTCGTCTCTCATTTATAGCTATTAATCGACTACCAGGGTTTCTTCCTTTGCCCATCTAAGCATTTTTCTGATTTTTCCTTGCTTGCTCCAGTCTTTTATACCCCATTCAATTGCCCTGGGTGATATTTATCTTGTGACACACTCCACCTTTGTCAGTGCACCCTCTATCCTAGTATTGTATATAAGCATCTAATTTAGATAATGTTATCACTTAACAGGTTTCCCAATATTTCAATCGTTCAGAGATATTTTGAAAATTCTCCATGTTACAGAGTTGATTTTCATACAAAAAAAGTTTTATTTTTCAATTGGCAAACCAATTTACTGTATGAATTCTCAACACAGAAGAAATTGGTCTCACCTCTGATATCTAGTGTCGCACAACAATCGGTGTGTGTATTGGGGGGTCACTCTCTGTTGAGACTGTCAGTGATCTTATACATAGTGATATGGAGATCTATATTCAGCTCTGTGGTATGCCTCCAGGGAGCTCTGAGGCTGGAATTGATGGCGATCCTCGATATTTAGGAGAGAGTTTAGATTTGTTTTTTCCTGTGACTTGTTTTAGTCTGTTGGCTTTTCAGTCCCCCCATGGGACAGTAGTGAGTTTACAGACTTGCAATGCTGGAATTTGGGGTTCAATTCCTTATAGTGAACTCAACAGATACCCCAATGCTACTTTGCTCTAATGAAACAAACTTACCTGACCAAATGTTGTTCCAATCAACAGTTATCAACACAGTCTTTAAATGACATATATATAAAAAAAGGAGGCCACTTTGGGGATAAGTTGCCTTTGATTTGTTTTCTTCAGTTGGTTCATTGAGAGTGTGATGTCTTGGGTCTTTCCCCAGTTGCTTTTGATCCTGCAACCTTACTTGATGGCTGAAAGGTCTAAGAGCAAATATTAATTTTCTCTCCATCCATGCACATTGTGGTTCATGTAGGGAGGTTTATTTCTTAGTTACGTGAAGGGAACTTTATGCCTTATCCGACATGTTTGTCAGAACTTCATGATTTAGTCTACCACCATGAGGTAGAAGCATTTTCTGAGGCAGAGTTTGTAGTTAACCTGAATAGATCAATGCCCCCTAATGGGACAGGGTACGTCTAAGGACTTACAACTCTTAATGTCTAACATTTTGTTTTCCTTTCATTTCACTTTGTTGGAAGACTCTCAGGATCACCAACCTTCATTGATGATGAGCTGGAACCATTGCTAGCATGCACATTAGTTAAATTGTTGGCTTGTACCTTCATCTCTTTTGTTGTTGCCATCTTGAATTTCATTGGTTCCTACAGGGAGTCATAATTCCACCCTATTTGTGGGTCCTGACCCTAACATCAGCCACTTGGTACATTGGTATCCAGAATAAATTCTGTTAGTATCTACCGGTTCTGTTGCTCAGTCAGATTGTTGCCAGTGGTGTCAGTGATTATTGTATGCCTTCAGGGTCTGTGGGGGCTTGGCTCCCAGAAATTCTGGACGTGTGGTAACATTAACCAAAGATCACCTCAGGTCCTTGAGTCAGGATTAATCATTCAGTTTATATCTTCACCATTATAATCACCTAATCTATAGTATTTCCATCTTCGACAGACCCTTAGGATTTGGAACTTAGATCTAGAGCTATCAGAGTTTGGTTTGTCTGGGGATAGTGTGAGAGTCATGCTAGTTCTTCCAAGGTTTTATTCCCACTGGTTGTTGGGCCTAAGAAGACAGGAGATTGGTGTCCAGTCATATATCTTACTCATTCCTCAATTTGAGTGGACATTTTTTACTGAGACTGTGGATGTCCAAGTTCATTGTAGTCAGCTTCTATATGCATATTGCCATAGTGGTGGCACTCCACCACTATTGTTTTTTGTTGTGCATGTGTGAGTGCATAAGGGTTGGGTACTTCAGTTACGGGTTTATACCTTCAGACTCGCATGGGTTCTGCTGTATTGTATGAGTTTTTTTCTTGTCACCTCCATTTCATTGCACTGTGGACACGCCATTCCACAGATGACTGGTTACTGCTGGAACCATCTTGTCAGTTGGCAGAACATCACATCCTGATTCTACTTTCAGAAACAACCAAGGCAGGCTTCATTTTCATAGCTGAGATGAGACATCTATTCTTGTTCCAATATATGATGTCATCAGTTTGGGTATTTTTTATTTTTTATCTCATCTCTCAGTTGGACTCAACTGACTCCCATCTGGCTCATTGCTATGGAAAAGGAAGCCTGACTCTTACTCACCTCTCCTTCTCCCACTGCATGGATGGTTCTTTCTCTTCTGGGATTGTGGGCATCATTCAAATCCCTCATAACTTTGGGACAAGAGCAGAAGAGATCCTTTCAAGGGTCTTTATGTGACTAAGGAATCGTAAACATCGATTCACTGGATTCCCCAGTTTCCTTAGTTGAGATCATTATTCTCAATGAACTTCTATTTGGCTCAATGCTATGGAACAGAAACCCCATTCTTAGTCACCTCGCCTTCTCCCACTGCACAGCAGGTTCTTTATCTTCTGGGAATATGGGCATCCCTCATGCCTTTGGAACGAGAGTAAAAGAGATTCATATAAAGGTCATTATGCAACCAAGGGATAATATAAATTGATTCACTGGATTCCCCATTTTCCTTAGTCATGATCATTCTTCAATCTCAAGGGGGTTGTTCAGTCTGGACACAACTAAGATATGGGTTCCTCTACCATCAGAGTTCCATCTCTTCATAAATGCCTTGCTTCAGGAATGAGATGCATATATAACAGTCAGGAATTCCAGGGTCTATGCATGGATGACAACGCTTCCCTACACAGTGTTTTAGTCCTTGCTCTTCAAAAGGCAATGTCTCATGGTCTGGGTTTATTATGGGGAAAATTGTCAGGCTTCACTATGACAATTCCCCAGTGATGTCTTGTGTTTCTCATCAATGAGGAACTTGATGCAGTGCTCTTTGTTTTCAAAGCTTGGACCTCCTTTCTTGGGACCATTCCTATCATATCACCCTACAAGCTTGCCCTGTTCCATGGATGATGCCTGTGGTAATAGGTTAATTGTCTCAACCCATATAGATTCTCCCAACAGAATAGATGCTGCATTGCAAGGTTCTGTTCAATTGGCTCTTGTTTTGCAACTGATTGGTGGGTTGGCTTCTTATTGGAACATCCAACTACTGGCAATTTGCTCTCCAGTACCTCACCTTGGCTCTTATTTTGCAACTGATTAGTGGGTTGGCTTGTTATTGGAACACTCTACTGGCAATTTGGTCTCCAGTACCTCACCTTCGGGCTTTTGCAATGGATGCATTCTGTTGGGACAGGATGAGATTACAACTTTAGGCCTTCCCCAAATTCATATGATACTTAGGGTACTAAATATGAGCTGTTCCAACCTATTCTTGGGTTCTGTTGATAGCACCAGATCAGCAGCTCCACCCAGGTTTCTGCTTCTGTAGAACCTTCCAGAGTGTCCACCTCCTCCGCTTATTCTTAGGACATCTCTATGCAGGCAGTCATGATCTGATATAGTACATCTGGCTATCTAGAAAATTAAAGCTTCAGTCATAGAGGTTTTGCAGTCTTTCGTACAGCATTAGGGTTTAATTTATAAGATGCCATTTATCTGTTTCAATTTTTGCTTAGTCCCGAGATGGAAATTTATTAACGGAAATGACATACATATTGGCAGTGGTGTATTGATCAGAAATACCAACCATTACACATATTTGGACCTGGCTCTTTGGCAAAAGTTTTTGTATCTTCCACATTCACCCTGTATAAGGCAGCCTTATCAATTACCAGACAGTACTCACAACTAAATATTCTTTGAGTCCTCAGTACTCTTTGGATTTCTTAAGTCACTTTGGGTCATTGGTTCAAAATGACCATTCCAGTTACTTAACAGGCATATTAAGATTACAACACGTGCCCTTTCCCAACACCTGTTTGTGACCTGATTTTCATGTGCCATGTATCCCTTTTACCTGAAGGTTTATTTTTTGTTCTGGATGAACTACAGACATCACCAATTGGAGTGGTTTGCACAATTTGTCCACGGACTGCTTTCTCTTTCTATCTACGTCCTCAGACCAGTTCTTCTTACCTAAGACACTGTCAAACAGAAAAGGGGATAAATCCTTTTCACCTATTCATCTGATTGCTATTTCTTATTTCTATGTTCATTGTCATATTCAATGATGGTTTTGGAGGTTTTGTTGGCTGCCCTAATACCTTTAGAGATGCTAGACAATGACTTTTTATTCTGGGCTCTCTTTGAAGGCGCGGGATTTTCTGTGAGTCACGTCTAATCAGATTTGTCACATTACTATGTCCTTAGCAGCCCGATTGAATTGCTAGCTGGAGGATATTATGTGGACCTCCCCAATACTTTTATCTCACATTATATGCATGATCTGGCAGTATTTTCATCTGAGGGTTTAGCCTTTCCCTTGTAGCTACCTTAACCACTTCTTCTGGATTATAAAGAGGGATAAGTATTGAGTCGTCAAGAAATTATGTCTCGTTTTGGAAAACTTTCATTACCCCCCCCCCCCCCAAACTGTACATCACTTATAATAGTTAAACAAACCTCCTAAATGTCATGTTAATGTAGCCTATATAATGTGTAAAGTTTAATGTACTCTAATCCCTTATAGTGATGGCACATGACGAGACACACATTCGGCATATAATGCTGTTTGAATACAAGAAGGTAAACAATGCCTCTGTAGCCTCAAAGAACATCAAAGAAGTTTATGGAAATGTTTTGAACATTTGTAAGTGTCAACAGTGGTTCAGCAAATTACGTTCAGCTGACTAGCCTTAAAAACTGTGATGGCAGACACTGACATGTTGGAATTGATATTGATGACCTGAAGATGCTTGTTGAGTCTAACCCAAGGCAACAAACTTGTGAAATGGCCCTGAAATTGCATGTCTCTCATGAAACAATACATAAACATCAAAGGAATATGGGGAAACTCCATAAAGAAGGTAGTTGGGTTTGAATTGCCACCGGTGATGAAAAATGGATTCTCTACACAAATATTAAATGCAGAAAAACAATGGCTCAGTCCTAGACAAAAACCACTTCCAGCCCCAAAACCTGGACTCCATCTGCAGAAAGTGATGCTTTGCATTTGGTGGGACATCAGAGGAGTAATTCATTTCAAACTCATCAATCCACAGCGATCTGTCAATGCAGAGATTTATATTCTGCAACTGGAACGTTTAAATCAAGCCCTTCATCAGAAATGCCCTTCGCTTGTCAATCGGAAAGGCGTTCTTCTTCTCCATGACAGTGCACATCCAATGTGGCACGTTTGATGCAACACAAGATTATGGAGTTGGGTTGGGAAGTTCTCCCCCACCCACCATATTCTCCAGGTATGGCAACATCAGATTACCATCTTTTTCGTTTGCTGCAACACCATCTTAATGGGAAAATGTATGCAAATGTGGAAGGTGTTAAAGAGGACATCGATATGTTTTTGCTTCAAAGTCAACTTATTTTTTAGTCAGGGCCTTAACAACCTGATTGTAAGATGGAAAAGCATCATCGATAAGAATGGAGACTATTTCATTTGATAAATATTTGTTTTGATATATAAATTGTTTGGGTTTTTCATCTAAAAAAAAAGCGACGTTAATTTCTTGACGACCTAATATTTCATTGCTCCCTTTCAGGGTCCCTTACCTCGTCTTCACAGGATCCCACTCTGTGGCAAGTGTTGCCCAGCAATTCCACACTAGCAACCACTAATTCAGTGTACTTTAAACAGGTTGCAACAGGCTCGATAGAAATTAGGTGTTCCATAAAACTACGTAGAGGCCGACCAGGTGATATTACTGTACTATGCTGGACCTCCACTCATGGACTATCATGAGTAAAGCATAAGGGGATCCTGCCTGTTCTTGCCAATCATGGTATTGAATAAATTGGAGTCACCTATTACTCTGTTACCAGAGCACTGTTCCTCAGTACTCCCCAACATGCATTACTCACTCCCGGGTTCTACTAGTGGAGCTTGGGAGTCCTTACCACACCTAGTTTCAAGTCATTGGGGTGGTAGACAGAGTGTTAGAGTTAATTTCTCCACTCTTGGAGAAGAGGGCAAAGTTGGGGGTCCTTTTATCTGGGTCCCTGGATATTTTTTCCCAGATGTTGGTAGGAGTAGCACCAGCCAATGTGAAAGCCTACTCGTAATGCCAGTTTAGATTTGGCACTCGGTTATTTGGTTGGATTGAACGTGACCCTTCTTTTTGATCAATATTTTTTCAGAACATTGTTCATGGAAGAGGATCCACTGTCTCCTCATAATTGGAAAGACAGAGTGGTTCCATCATGAGTCTTTTGTTGAGTACAGTTGTTCCATGTCCTCCCCATAATTCTGGAGGCAAGTGGAACTTACCTTGCCCACACCGCTGGGGAGGGAGGATGAGTGTTCATAATTCCAGACTGGATGAGTTCTGTTTCCTCAGGTTGAGTAAGACATACATGATTCTGTCATTCCAAAACTGGGGTGTTGCTTTTGGGGTTCTTCAGATGGAGGAGAAGATTTGTTCACTTTGGTGTTGCTTACTTTCTCGTCATGATTCTGGTGGCTCAGAATGCATCACTCTATGGCTATAGGTTGGGATCCACTCATAATTATATATATATATATATATATATATATATAACGTATGTATGTACTTAA